TTTCGATGAAATCGGTTTAGATTTCGATATTGTGTTTTAAATTTATTTACATAATATAGTCCCATTGTAAGAAGCAACTCTATATCTGACCAAAATGTAGTATATGCTGCAGAAAGACATGTTAGCTTCATGTTAATGGTCCTTCAAAAATGAGACGTCTGTAAGGATACCATCTGTTGAATATACCCAAAGTGGCGAAGGGTATCATACAGTCAGTCCAACTATACTACTTTCCTTACTGGTTTATCATTAAAGAAATTTTGCAATGCAAGAAAAATATGATAATCGCTTGGTGCCAAGTCCGGACAGTATGTCGGATGCATTAAAACTTCCCAACCAAGCTCCCGAAGTTTCTGGCGAGTCACTGTAGATGTGTATGGCCTAGCGTTGTCCTGGTGGAACACGACACCTCTCCTGTTGGCCAATTCTGGTCAATTGCTATCCAGTTATTGACAGTAGAGATGAGAATTTAGCGTTTAGTCAAATGGAAGCAGCTCATTATAAATAATCCCCTTCCAGTCCCACCAAATGCATAACAGAACCTTCCTGGCCGTTATTCCGGATTTGTCCACCGTTTGTGGTGCTCCACCGTTCTTTGACCATGATCGTTTTCGCACAGGTTTATCTTGTTCCCCAACCTAATATGAAGTGTTCGACGTGATTGCATAAATTTTGGTTCGATGAGTAAGTGTAAATCTGATAGGCAGAATTATACTAAAAACCGAATGCCTATAGCTCTGATGGACCTTATAATGTTCTTTAATAATATAAAATTGTAAAAATATTCTTTAAATATTTTTGTTATTTGAATTTTGCCTTGTAAGGGCAGTGATCATTTGAATGTAATTTTAAGTGATTATTTATACTCTTTCGAGTCGAGCTTTGATGATCTAAGTTTTGCAATGAAAAGGAAAGCCAGGAGAAGAACCTACTTACCCACCATTATGCTACGCGTTCCGCCGTTGGTTAAGTGGCTCATCAGGCATATTGGGCCATGTGGCTTTACAAAGGTCGTACGTTGATAACTTGTATTTATTCCGCCCTGATGCGAAACCTGCATATGGGAATTAAATTCAAATTTGACAAAGTTCGACATTTGTCTTCATTCTAGGAACAGTTCTGAGCCATCAACACATTTCCAAAAATCTTTAATAAAAATCTTTTCTTTTAATCCAGGCATATAGCTCGATGGTCCTAATACAAATATTTTTTAATCGACATCTTTAGCTCTAAAAATCCTTTAAAAATTCTTTACAAAACCTCGTCTATATATATTGCATAAAGTTCCCAGCTTATAGTTCTATCAGTCCACATAAATCCACGATAATAGATCTGATGGACGTTATAAATGATTGCTTTAAAAATCCACGCCTACAGCTCTGATGGCCCTCACAACTATATTCATAATGAATTCAAGCCTACAGGTCTGAAAATGCTCCTGGTTGAAAAAATATTATTTAAAAGAACGTGTCTTTAGCTCTAATGAAAACATTTTCAAGGCTCGCCCGGACTATGAGTTGTGGATTTTTACATAAAATATTTTCTATTGTCATCCAGACTATAAACGTGGATTTGTAAAAAAAAAATATTTGTAATTTTTTTTTTAAGAAATTACTTTCAAGGCTCATCCGGACTATAAGCATGGATTTTTAAAGATAGTGTTTTCAAGGATAATATCTCTAAACCTGTTATTTTAAATAAAATATTTTCAAGGGTCATCGGGACTATAAGGGTGAACTTTTAAAGAAAATATTTGCAATAGCCATCCGGACTATAAGCATGGATTTTTAAAGAACATATTTTGAAGAGTCATCCGGACTATAAGGGTGCATTTTTAAAGAGAATATTTTCAAGGCTCTTACGGTCTATATTTAAGGGTCGATTTTTAAAGACAATATTTACAAGGGTCATACGGACAGGATTTTTAAAGAAAATATTTCCATGAGCCCGTCGAACTATAAGCGTGGAATTTTAAAGACAATATTTTCAAGGACAATTCGAGCTATAAGCGTCCTTATAAAAATATTATTTAAAAATCCAGACCTATAACTCTAACGGTCTTCATATCAATATTCTTTAGAAATCCACAACTAAATAAAAGAAATCTCAATTTGTTAAATAAAATAAATCCATATCGCTGTGTTTCGCTAGTTTCATTTCGTAATTTCATAAATTAAATTCGATTTTATTTTTTGTTTACATTTTTTTTAATCCAAATTCTATCAAATCGAAAAATCTTCCCAAATGTTAAGTACCTATTTAGATGTGAATTCGATTTCGATTCTTGTGCCAACAACCGAGTCAAGCTAATTACCCTTTTGTGGCAAACCAAGATCATGACAACAGAATTTGAAGCACACAAAACCAAAAAAAAAAAACTGCCATTTGTGACGAACCCAGCACGACCAACAACAATGCCAAGTTAAAAATTCTCTTCATACTCAAAACACAGCAGGAGTTTAAAGACTTTCATTAAAAAAAAAACACAACAAAATCTGCTATTGCTTTGCATGTATTTATGTATTTTTGTATGGGTGTATGTGTGTTAGAGTGTTGATATGAATTCTTTGTCGTTATTATTTTGTTTTCTTGTTATTCTTTCTTTGGGATTTTTGAATTGCTTCTGTTACTGCTGTCTGTCTGTCTGTCGCCTTTGTCGTTTGTCGTCTTTCAAACTCGAAAAATGTGCAAACATTTTATCATCGTCAACACAACTCATTTCCTCTATATCTCAGTTGGCCATATTAGCTGTCAACAACATTTAAATCTTTAGTTGTTGTTGACTGACTGACTGTTTTTGTTGCCACTGCCTCTTGGCTGCTACTTAGCAGCCGGCAGTGAAGGCTTTTTAGGTATTGCAAACAAGAGAGTGTTTTTTTTTTGTGAAGAGAAAGGGTTAAATGACCGCCCACCTATTAGCCAAATGACTTTTTTGGGTTTTGTTAAGAAGCATCTTTTTTAGAGAGGGGGAAATGAGAGAGAGAATAACAACAATAATAAGAAATTGCATTTTTCAAACAAAAGTCTTAAGAAACAAACTGCAATGTTGTCAGTTAAATTAGATGTGGTGCAAATAAAACAGAAGACTTAGGAAACAAACTTTAAAAACATGTAATGTAGTGTGATATTAACAACAACATAAAATAGTGACAGGAATGAGTGAGAGTGAAACAAAAGACTTAAGAAACAAACTCTTACATTTCCTCTTCAACAATATGTTATTGTAATGTCTCAATTGCAACTAAAAAATTTTTAAAAATTATTTTTAAAATTGTATAATTACCATTGCAATGCTGCTGCGTGGCTCTGCTTATTATCATTTCGAACAATTAAAAAAAGAAATACAAACTTCGATATCACATGATGCCGCCGCAACATCAAAACGAATACTCCACTTTTCCATTCACGGCCCTTTACGAACAACAAAATGATTGCTGCTGCTGCCGTTGCTCCGATCATTGTCTCTAACAGATTGATTGAACATATGATATCGGGTTTTGTTTTTTGACATGTGTAAGATGTTACATGTCAATCATCAGAGGTTGATTGAAATCGTACACCATCAACGATTTGTATTGGATAATAAATCATTACATTGTATGGTCAAAAATGAAACAAGATCGTATTCAATCCGTTGCAAGTAGATCAAAAAAAGAAAAAAAAAACGAAAACAAAAATGTTGTAAGGTATACCTTTGTACTGAAAATGAGCAAACAAAACACTAAATAATATCAAGACCTAGATATGCCCTTTATCTCAGGGGGAGAAGAGTTAATTTTCTTTAATAATTAGGTAAAGAAATACAATTTTTAGTGGATTTTTAAAAATATATTTTTAGGAAACTTCAGAGATACAGGCTCGGATTTTAAAAATATTTTTAGGGACCTTCGGAGCTATAAGTTTGGATTTTTTAAAATATTTCTTTAAGGGACCTTCCGGACTATAAGCCTGAATTTTTAAAGAATATATTTTCAAGGGTCTTCACGACTGTAAGCATGGATTTTTAAAGAAAATATTTGCAAGGGTCATCCGAGATTTCAGCGTGGATTTTTAAATAAAATATTTTCGAGGGTCAGACGGGCTATAAGCGTGGATTTTTAAAGAAAATATTTTCAAGGACCATCCGGTCTATAAGCGGGCATTTTTAAAGACAATATTTTCAAGGGTCATCCGGACTATAAGTGTTGACTTTTAAAGACAATATTTTTAAAGGCAATATTTTCAAGGGTCTTTCAGACTATAAGCATGGTTTTTTAAAGACAATATTTTCAAAAGTCATCCGGTCTATAAGCATGGATTTTTAAAGACAATATTTTCAAAAGTCATCCGGTCTATAGGCGTGGATTTAAAAAAAAATATTTTCAAGTGTCATCCGGACTATAAGCGTGGATTTTTAAAGAAAATATTTTCAAGGGTCATCCGGTCTATAGATGTGGATTTTTTATGAAACTATTTTCAAGGATCATCTGGACTATAAGCATGGATTTTTAAAGAAAATATTTTCAAGGATCATCTGGACTATAAGTGTGGATTTTTTAAAGAAAATATTTTCAACGATCATCTGGACTATAAGCGTCGATTTTTAAAGAAAATATTTTCAATGACCATCCGGACTATACGTGTGGATTTTTAAATAAAATATTTCCAAGGACCATCCGGACTATAAGCGTGGATTTTTAAATAAAATATGTTAAAGAAACATTCGAGCTATAAGCGTGGATTATTAAAGAATTTCATTTGAATTTCCTTCAAACTCAAACTCGTATCACAGCATTTGTGATAACGTTTGTCATTGGCTATTTGAATGAAAAATGGACTTTTTCCCCCAAATGGAAAAATACGTTTGTTTTCTTCGCCTTTTTTGCATTTGCCTTTGTTTTTGTCCTGTCTCACTACTCTGTCATATTTTTGTGTTGAGAATTAATGATCTTGCTTTATTAGTGGTCAATAGATGACCATTGGAAACTGTAGATCCGTTTTGCATACCAACAACAACAACTATGACTGCTATTGATGATGTTGAGTAAGTGCAAGTGTTATATACCATTTATTCTGGCAGGCAGGCTGTCTGTCTGCCAACTTTGGTGGCAGGGAGGCCATCATTGATTCTTTGGTTATTTACGCACCAAACCTTTTTGTGGTCCAAAAGGTTGGTTATTCCTTTGAGTTTTTTTCCTCTCTCTGTGTTCTCTAAATGCAATTTGTAAAGCTTATGCAATTTCCGGCATCCATAATGTTTTTTCTTTTGTTTTGTTTTTTAAGATGAAATGTGAGTAAGAGTTTGGATGATTTGATTTTTTTGCTTCAGCTTCGCTTTGCCTCTTGTGTTCTCACTCCATTGTATGGAGTGGTTATTAATAAAAGGCGTATAAAATGCCATAAATCATTTAAGGTTCCCCTCACAGAAAAATCATCGGCAATGGGATTTGTCTATTCAGATTTTATTTTTTCTGTCCGTCTGTCTTTGTTTCTAATGAAAAGATAAAAGAAATTACTAGTGGAATTAAAATAAGAGGGATACGAGTTATCTTCGTTTGGGTGGCATAATATGAAATATATAAAAAGTCAATAGAAGAACGGTGGCTATGTGAGTTTTAAGTTTAAAGTTTGAAGTTTCATAAAAAAAACTTGTCCTCGATTTTTAAAAAAAATAATTTTTCTAAGTCGTAGATTTTTTAAAAATATGTTTTCAAGGATTATAAAAGTCGTAGAATTTTATACCCTACAGGGTATTGTAGCTTTGTGCAGCCCAAGAGTTTGTAGCGCCGCAAAATAATGGGCGTAGCCCACCTTTAAGTATACCGATCGTCATATCTCGACTAGCTGAGTCGATCTAAACATATGTGTCCGTCCGTCTGTCCATTATAATTTGTAAACACGATACAGCTCACGGTTATGGACCAATCTTCACGAAATTTTGCATTAAGGATGGGTTCTGGCCAATGAAGATAGGAGTCTTGTTTTTGGTAGAGATCGGTTAATATTTAGGGGATGAAATGGACCAAAAATTTAATTTTTGTCTGATTTTCTGGTCGCTCCAAAGACCGCAATTATGGCTCAAACATCGCGAATGTTTATATGAAGATTGGGATCGGGCTAAAGAATAGCATGTTTGTTTTGATAAAGATCGATAAATATTTAGCTGGTCAAACCGATCCTGAATTTTGTGTGAAAAATTATAACATTTTTTTCTATAGCGTACCCCTGAAGGACGCAGACCCCAGAAATTGATAGTATATCCAAGAGGAGTGGTTGGCCTTTAAATTAATACCAATAATATTGTCGTCTGTACTCGGATGTGCGTGTTACACTTAAATATTTACAGGTGCTTTCGTATTCAGATATTATTTAATAAACCATTACCACACTAGAGGGCGGAAATATTGCACTGATCGCTTTGAAATATTCTATGAAGTTCCAGTTATGGTTAAGGACAAGGCCTATAATTCTCGGTGATGATCAGATAATAATTTTGGGATAAAGTGGACAGAAAACTATTTTTTTTGTGTTTTTTCGAGTTGATGTATAGGCCAACATTGAAAGCCGACCATCACAACACAACCCACGTTGAAGGGAATCTGACCAAGTAATTAGAAGGGCTGTACTGAATATTAGTAATATTTGTTTACCTCTAGTCGGTCAAGAGGGTGCAAATATTACGAAATATTGCCCAAGCTCAGAATATAGAACTACCGAAAGCTAGATTTTCATGGAATTTGTGTAGGGTATCATATGGTCGGCCCCGTCCGACAAAATTATTCAAAATTATTATTCAAGATTCGGACATTTGGCATCACACCATAACATTCCTTTTCAGAGCAGATTTTTGCTTGTAGTGACGGACTTTTTTCCCATACAGACTAGAATATTTTTCTTCAATGGTATGCAACTGCATATTGTGCAACCTTAGGAAGATAAGGAGGTGGCTTTGAAGTCTAAGGCGCCGGACAACAATCAACAGATGCCATGGGAACTAGGGTTAAAATCCCAGCCGGGCTCGAGCTGATTTTTTTGAGTTTTAATGCCTTTTTAGGGCGAAGGATCATTCATGTAAATGTTTTTTTTTTATTAATTTCTCTTTCGAGATGAGCTACATGATCGGAGTCAATGATATACACATTTCTTGCTGCAGTAAAAATCCATTCGGACAAATTCAAATTATGTTGGTTAATCTCTATTATTAACATTTCAAATCTAAATTAGAGTCTCATATAAAGTTGGTTTCATTTTCGTATGCAAATTACACAAGTCTACAATGGTGCTCAACTTCATTTTCACAAAAAGGTATTTTAATTCGTAATAAATGGAAATATTATCTGCCAAGACATAATGGGGCTTCCTTTTCAAGTCGTCGTATAATTTTTTTAAAAGCCTTTGTTCTCATATAAAAAATAAAAACCTAAGTAAAGGGTATTTCTTTTAAGAAAAGTTGATAAATTCTATCAAAGATAAAATGTTTTTTTTTTTCAAAATTTGTGTAAAACTTTTCTTTTAATAATATTGTACTCTACAAAAAATATGTAATCCTGTGTACACCACCCTGAATGTTAACGCATTCCGATAACGTACCGACCTTATTTATGTGTTTTTTATTTCAAAATTTATTTTATATCTTTTTTCTGTTGTAACAAATGGTAAATTGCAATTGTATGAATGTGTGTGTGTATTTGTGTTCACCCAACGTGTGTGTGAATATGGTAATTTTACTTTCAGAATGATTGCGGGTTTTCAACTATTTAGTCGATTGTTGTGAGATTTTCATTTGGCCTGTCTTCCCCTTTGTGTTTGAAAATATAATTATTATTAAGGCTGAAATGTTAATGTTTAGCAAACTGTCCAAATGTCTGTCCAGTTGGCTGGAATGGCTGTGGAGTGTTCGCTTATTTAGTGTTTTGTTGTCGCTGTTGTTTAGTTTTTTCCTTCTTGAGCACACATTTAAATTTCATGTTTAAATGCAGTAAATTGCTTTTTTATATTTATTTGCAATGGACGTTTGCTTTGAAAATTCCACAATTGCAATTTTTGTTGTATTTGTTGTGAGTTTCAATGGGTGAGTGTGTGTGTGTGAGTGCCCGTGTGTTTTCGATCACTCAAACAAAGACATGGCAAAAAATAATAAAGTGGGGTTGGCTTAAATGCGGTGGCATTTTAGTCATTAAAAATTTTGCCGTGTCTTTGCATAGTTTTCATTTTTTATTCTTCTCTCACTGCCCCCTGTCTCTCGCTCGCTAACTTTATTTAATGTTTTTATTACAAATGAAGTTGTCAAAATGTTTAACAGACTGAATAATTGGTAATTCACATATGTTAGGAGGAATGTAGGCAGGCAGAGAGCTGCACTCTGTTCGGGAGGCGCTATATGTTTATTAGCCACAACTTGGGGGTATTGCTAAGCAATTATTATGTTGCTCCCATACGGCCTGATTGTTCGTTAGATGAACAAAAAAATGAAAACAAAATCAAAACAGAAACAAACAACTTGAATTTGCTGCGGCATTTTAGACATATTTGATTATAGGCTATCCAAAACTTCCTACATTTGTTTTCAGTTTCATTTCATTACGAAATGCAATGCAATGATTTGTTTGTTGCTTACAACTTAATAAAGCAATAAATTTGAGGCGACCGGAGTGCATAACATTAAAATGTGCTACGCATATTATGGAGATCATGTTAATTCCGCAATGATAAATTAGTGTCCGAACAAATTTTGAAGTTAAATTTACTCTAATTGATTGAAATGCGAATTAATTTGAATAATGTTAATAATAGACAAATGTCTTCATACAAGCTTATAAGTATTTGAAAATCTAGCTCTTGAGAAAATTATATATTTTTTTTTAAACTATAAGGTTCGTAAGAAAATATATGCGTTACAAAATCCACGCTTAAAGGGCCTTCAATAATATTTATGGTTTTATACTATTTGATAAATATACACATTAATTCACTGTCTCATAAAAAAATATTCTTTAAAAAATCCAAGCCTCAATGGTCCTGGAAAAATTATTCTTTAAATAATTGGAATGGATGGTCGTTTTCAAAAATATTCTTTAAAAAATCCACGCTTCAAATGGATGGGCGCTTTCAAAAATATTCTTTAAAAAATCCACGCTTCAAATGGATGGTCGCTTTCAAAAATATTCTTTAAAAAATCCACGCCTTGTGTGGATGGTCGTTGAAAAATATATTCTTTAAAAATCCACGCCTCAGATGGATGGTCGTTGAAAAAATATTCTTTAAAAAATCCAGGCCTCAGATGGATGGTCGTTGAAAAAATATTCTTTAAAAAATCCAGGCCTCAGATGGATGGTCGTTGAAAAAATATTCTTTAGAAAATCCACGCCTCAGATGGATGGTCGTTTTCAAAAATATTATTTAAAAAATCCACGCCAAAGATGGATGGTCATTGAAAAAATATTCTTTAAAAAATCCACGCCTTGTGTAAGTCCTTGAAAAATATTCTTTAAAAAGACCACGCCTTGAGAAGTGCTTGAAAAAATATACTTTAAAAACATCCACGCCTTGAGAAGTGCTTGAAAAAATATTCTTTGAAGACCCACGCCTTGTATTAGCCTTGAAAAATTATTCTTTAAAAAATCCAAGCCTTATGGAGAACCTTTAACAAATATTCTTTAAAAAATCCACGCCTCGTATGATGACCCTTGAAAAAATATTCTTTGAAAAACACACGCCTTGTATTAGCCTTGAAAAAATATTCTTTAAAAAATCTACGCCTTGTATTAGCCTTGAACATATATTCTTTGAAAAAACACACGCCTTGTATTAGCCTTGAAAAAATATTCTTTGAAAAACCCACGCCTTGTATTGGCCTTGAAAAAACATTCTTTAGAAAATCCACGCCTTTTCGAAGGCTTTGAAAAATATTCTTTAGAAAATCCACGCCTTGTATGAGCCTTGAAAAAATATTCTTTAAAAAATTCACGCCTTGTATGATGCCCATTGAAAAAATATTCTTTAAAAAATCCACGCCTGTTATGGTCTTTGAAAAAATATTATTTATAAAATCCACGCCTCTTGTACTCCTTGAAACATTTTCTTCCATTTTTGTCCATATTCCCACACATGAAACAAAAGACTTAAGAAACAAACATAAAATTCTTAACTGGGTTAAACCCGTAATTATAACACACTGTACAAACAAATGATCATTTTTTTTATTATCTATATAAAGTTATGTTGTTTCTGTTGCAATGTGCAAACATACATAAAATTGGACATAATAATCTAAGTACAAAAAAACAACAACAACCCCAACACAAAAATATAGGTAAAATAACTTTATTTAAATGTGTTTGAAAAACTAGGCAAACAACAACAACAAACCCCCCAAAAAAATTATGCATTTTTCTTTTGTTGTTATTTTAATTTTTTGTATTTTCCAAACATTTGCTGCTGCTGGTTGGGTTTCCACCACTGTACACACCGATGATAGTGATCGCCGGCCATCGAAAAACAACCAAAAATAATTCTTTGTCTGGCATTATTTTTGTAGGCCAACCAACACACATAAGTGGTGGTGGTGGTGATGGGGGCGAACACCATGGTATTCTGGTCAATGGATATATATGTCTACGACAAGATCGCTGTGGTCATATATACATTGTTATTTTTTGTTGCTGGCCTGGCTTATTGCTGGAATTTTAATTGAAAAAATATATATTTTTATCCGCAAAATTGTCGAAAAAAAATAAGAAAAATAAAATAGCCAAAAATTACAAATACGTGGTCAATGGAAAAATTATAGTTAGGCAAAAGTTCAAATTATTTAACATTTTAAAATTTTTTTAAGAATTGTTGGGTACTAAGGAGACGTAAGTTGTTTTAACCCTTAAAATAAATAATGTTTGGGGATTTTCTTAAGATATTAAAATGTTTATAAGAACCTTTTTTTTAATTACAATTACTTGTCTTCCCTTTCTGTAACATTTCCGGTATGACTAACATTTTAACTAATGACCTTTTTGTAAATATTCATACCACCTGTACGGGTTAACCATTAACTATATTCTTCGGTTTTCAGAAAAAAAAAATAAAACACACCATATTGTCTAAACATCTAATTATGGTACTTGGACCAAAAATCAAAATGTTAATTATGACCATTTAAAGGTTTGTTTTGTTGTTCCCCCAATTAAGGTGTTATTTTTTTAGTTGTTAAACATTTTTATTGTAATGCTGTTGTTTCTGTTTCTGTTTCAGTTTTTTTTTAATAATTTAATTTGCTATTGTTTTTTGTATTCTAATAAGATTTTTTTACTATTTCTTTTGTTTACAGGTGTCAGCTAATGACCCGGATTGTGGTGTTAATGCCATGGTTACATACACCATGGGTCCGTTAACACGGCCAATTAACGAATTCGAAGTCCGTCCAGCATCTGGTGAAATTTGTATTTCGGGCGAATTGGATTATGAAAAACGGAGTGTTTATGAATTTCCGGTCGTGGCCACCGATAGAGGTAAGTTTGAGAAGTAGAAAAAATATGTATGAGGATTTTTAAAATTATCATGTCTTTAGAATTTAAATAACTTTTTTGAAGGATTGTCAAAGCTTTAAGTATATGGCTCTGAATTTACAAATATTAACGAATAACAGAACATTTTTTTATACCCTACACAACTATGTTGTCAGGGTATTATAGCTTTGTGCAGCCCCAAAAGTTTGTAACGCCGCGAAATATTGATCCTAAACCCACCTTTAAGTATACCGATCGTCATATCTCGACTATCTGAGTCGATCTAGACATGTGTGACCGTCCGTTCGTCCTTCTGTCCATTATAATTTTTAAACACGATACAGGCCACAGTTATGGGCCAATCTTCGCGAAATTTTGCATGTAGGATGGGTTCTGGCCAATGAAGACCCTATTGTTTTTTGAAAAGATTGGTTAATATTTTGGGGTTGAAATGGGCCAAAAACTTTATTTTTGTAGGTTTCTCTGGTCGCTCCAGAGGCCGCAATTATGGCCCAAACACCACGAATTTTTGCATGGCGAAGGGGATCTGGCCAAAGAATAAGCATGTCTGTTTTGATAAAGATCGGTCAATATTTAGCGGGTCAAATGGACCCTGACTTTTGTGTGAAAAATTACAAAATTTGTATTCTATGAGGTATATGTTTGCACCTGAAGGTCCTAGACCCGAGAAGCTGATAGTATGTTCAAGAGGAGTGGTTGACCTTTAAATTGATACCAATTATATTGTCGTATGTACTCGGATGCGGGACTTATTCAAAAATATTTACAGGTTCTTAAGTATTCATATATTATTTAGTAACCCATAACCATACAAGAGGGCGGAAATATAGCGCTGATAGATTTAAAATTTTCCATGAGGTTAAAGTTATGGTCACCGACAACGCCTATAATTTTCGGTGATGATCAGATAATAATGTTGGGGTGAAATGGACCGAAAACGTATTTTTTGTTTTTTTTTTAGAGCCGACCTATAGGCCTAAATTGAAAGCCGAACATCACAATACAGCCAACGGTAAAGGGAATCTGGACAAGTGATTAGAAGGGCTGTACTGAATATTTTTAATATTTGTTGACCTCTAGTCGGTCAAGAGGGTGTAAATATCGCAAAATATTGCTCAAGCTCAGAATATAGAACCACAGAAAGTTATAGTTTCGTGGAAGTTGTGTAGGGTATCATATGGTCGGCCCCGTCCGAATATACTGCTCCGCTCACTGATTTATATTTAAAAAATGGATTGGATTTATTTTTTCAGTGTCATGGGCCGACATTTTATACGCTTCACCACACAGGTACAGGGTATTATGTCTTTGTGCATAAGTTTGTAACAGGCAAAAGGAAACGTGATAGACAAATGGTTCCTTTTGAGAATATGCATAGAATCTCATTTGAAGTCGATTTATGCACGTCCGTCTGTCCGTCCGTCTGTCTGTCCATGTATTTTTGTAAACAAAGTACAGGTCGCATTTGTGATCCGATTTGGATGAAATTTGGCACAGTTCTTATTTGGCCCAAGGACGAACCCTATTGAAATTGGGAAAAATCGTTTCAGATTTAGATATAGCACCCATATATATTTTCGTCCGATTTCATGTAAATGGTGAACCAAGGTCCCTATATATCTTTCGATTTGCACGAAATTTGGTACAGCGTAATGAAATAAGTCTAGAATGATGTGTGCACAGTTTCGTGCAAATCGGTTCAGATTTAGATATATCTTCGCCCGATTTTAGGTAAATAGTCCACTAAAGTCCCTAGAAATCTTTCGACTTGCACGAAATTTGGCACAGCGATGAGATCGAGAATGATGTCTGCCAAGTTTCGTGAAAATCGATTCAGATATAGATATAGCTCCCATATATATTTTCTTCCGATTTTATGTAAATGCTGCACCAAAGTGCCTATATATATTTCGATTTGCACGAAATTTGAATTAGGTCTAAAATTATGTGTGTCAAGTTTTCTGAAAATCGGTTCAGATTTGGATATAGCCCCCATATATATTTTCGTCCGATTTAATGTAAATGGTGCACAAAAGTACCTATATATATATCTTTTGATTTTCACGAAATTTGGCACAGCGTAATGAATTAGGTCTATAATGATCTATGTCAATTTTCCTGAAAATCGGTTCAGATTTAGATATAGCTCCCATATATAATTTCATCCAATTTTTTGTAAATGGTGCACCAAAGTCTCTATATATCTTTCGATTTGCACAAATTTTGGCATAACGTACTCAATAGTGCCTAGAGTGATGCCTGCCAAGTTTCGTGCAAATCGGTCCAGGTTTAGATATAGCTCATATATATATTTTCGTCCGATTTTTTGTAAATTGTGCACGAAAGTCCCCATATATCTTTCGATTTGCACGAAATTTGGCATGACGTGCTGCATTGAGCCTAGAGTGATGTCTGCCAAGTTTCGTGAAAATCGGCCCAGGTTTAGATATAGCTCCCATATATAGTTTCGTCCGATTTTTTGTAAATGGTGCACCAAAGTCTCTATATATCTTTCGATTTGCACAAATTTTGGCATAACGTACTCAATAGTGCCTAGAGTGATGCCTGCCAAGTTTCGTGCAAATCGGTCCAGGTTTAGATATAGCTCCCATATATAGTTTCGTCCGATTTAATGTAAATGGTGCACCAAAGTCCCTATATATCTTTCGATTTGCACGAAATTTGGAACAGCGTACTGAATTAGGTCTAGAATGATGTGTGTTAAGTTTCGTAAAAATCGGTTGAGATTTAGATATAGCTGCTTTATATATTGTCGATTGATTTTATGTAATTTACGCACCAAGGAACCAATATGTGGCTGATAGGAACAAATCGTACTGAAATTAGTATAACCTAACCTGTGACAAGTATCACATATTTTAGTTCATCAAATTTCATGTTAATAGTCCTGTTTAATATACCCATAGTGGTGAAGGGTATCATATAATCGGCTCCGTTCGACTTTACTACTCTCCTTACAGGTTTATGTTGGAAAAATATTTGGAGAGTTTATTTTTTGTATCGGTAATTTGTTCTTATATGTTTAAGGCCTTTTAAATCAACACATTTTTTATTTCCCTCAAAATTCTATTTTCCAAATAATAATTTCCCAATTTCACATTCCTTTTCATTTCAGGTGGCCTGAGTACAACATCCATTGTTAAAATTCAACTAAACGATATCAACGATAATCGTCCCCAGTTCTATCCATCTCAGTATAAAGTCTCACTGCGTGAATCATCAGCATCATCGGCAGCGTCATCATCATCATCCGCATCGGCTAGCAGTTCGTCGTCTGCCGCAGCCACCATGAATGCCCAATCGCCGATTGTCACCGTTATGGCTACCGATCCGGATTCGGGTCGATTTGGTGCACTCACCTATCGCATTGTTGGCGGCAATGATGTTGGGCTCTTTCGCATCGATCGTGCAACGGGTGAAATTTTTGTAAATCGCCCCAATATGTTATCGACGCGCACGCAATCTCTGCAACATGTGTTGAATGTATCGGCCAGCGATGGTGGCGGATTGAGGACACAACACGATGCTTTAGTATATGCGAACATAATTGATGCCACGCAAAGACCACCAATATTTGAAAAATTACGTTATAATTTCTACGTAAAAGAGGATGTCATGCGTGGCACGGTTGTGGGTACAATACAGGCGACGAGCACAGATGCAGGTGAGTTGAGATGAGCGAAAATTGAAAAAAATAAGTAGAAAAACAAAACATTAAGAAAAAATCAAAAACCAAAATAAGGATTTATTGTCGATGCTGCTAAGGAGGCGTTGGGGTTTTGTGATTATTTTGGAAAAAAGAAGGGGCAAATAATATGATGAGCAGTATTTTTATGGGGAAAGAACTATAAATATGTTTGAAGGTTTTTTTTATCAGAAGAAACCTCTTCTGGGATTAAAATTTTTTACATTATTTGAGGTTTTTGATACAAAATTAGGAGAATGAGAACTAATAACTCTGAAAAACTGCCCAAAACAAAAAATAAATCAAATTTATTCATATTTTCTGAAGTTGAAAAATCAAAATTCCTTCTTTTCGTCCAAGTACATTTTTCCGAACTTGGGTTCGACTATTCTGTGTTTGATTACACTTTTTATCGTGAACATATATTTATTTTTTGAACACTGTGCACCCTGTTGTGTTTGTTGCCTTGTCAACATTTTAATGAGGCACATCATCATCATCATCCTCTGCGTCGTAGCCGTCGTCATTGCCTTAACGATCCTTTAGATAATAATGCTAAAGAGAAGATATTATTTCTTGTTGTTGTTATTTTTTTAGTTTTTATTCCTTCTTCATTTTTTTTTTTCAATATAAACTCATTGAAGCAAACAAAGGCATTCATTAATTCAATGATTTGGAAACAAATATCTGAACATTTGATTGACAGTATAGACAATTTGGTTTTGTGTTCCTTTTTTTTTCGTTGTTGGGCTTCTATAAAACAGGCATTTTGGTATATAAAGAAATCGTATTAATAACGCTTTTTTTTGGAGGTGGGGTTTACCAAAATGTGAAGATCCTTTGAGAGGTTTAAAAAAATCTCAAGTGGATTTTTAAGGAATTTTAAGTTGCTAACACAAAAAACAAAATATTTTTCAAACTCCTAAATCATCGCAGATTTTTTATAAAATGGATAAAATTAAAAGAATTAAATTTGAACACCCAAAGAACAAAGAATATGATATTTCTTTTCATTTATATACTATAAATTGGGCTTTTTAAAAACGTGGCCTAGTAACATCGCCAATAAAACTGTTTTAAACCATTTACAATTGACCAGAAACGGACAGAATTGGTCAGCAGGAGAGGTGTCAGGTTCCACCAGGACAACGCTAGGCCACACACATCTACAGTGACTCGTCAGAAACTTCGGGAGCTTGGTTGGGAAGTTTTAATGCATCCGCCATACAGTCTTGGCACCAAGCGATTATCATATTTTTCTTGCATTGCAAAATGTTTTTAATGATAAAGAATTGGTATCTAGGGAGTATTGTGAAAATCGAATTCTAGAAATTTTTGGAAATATAGAGCAGGACTTCTATTAGAGAGGCATTATGATTTTACCTTAAATAGCAACAAATCATTCAACAAAACTGTGCATATTTGGCACAAGTCGGACATTTTGAAGCATGTTAAATAAAGGTTTATAGTTCATATAAAATAATGGATTTATTTTTTCCCCAACCTATTATTATATTGCTTCTAGGCCAGAACCTCTGTTTCCTACAGATTGTATTTAGGGCCGACGAAATTTTCTCACAGTAAGGAAGGTAGAAAAGTCGGATGGGGCGGACTATATGATACCCTTCACCACTTTTGGGCATATTCAACAGATGTGTTCTAACAGACGTCGCAGATTGGATTATTAATGTTTGATTTATAGTGACCGCCATTTGTAAAAACGTTGATTTGAAAGAAACGTGTTTATAGTTGAGAAGCTCTACTGTCTTCTGTCAAAGTCATTCTAGGCGCTATTTACTGAAAGTACGAAATTATATATGGGAGCTATATCTAAATCAGAACCGATTTTCTCCAATTTCAATAGGGTTCGTCCTTGGGTCAAATAAATGAGCTGTGCCAAATTACATCCACTCCGGGTTATAAATGCGATCTGTACTTTGTTTACAATTTAACATGTACAGACAGGTGGACGGACATGCATAAATCGACTCAGAAAATTATTTTATGCATATTCTCAAAAGGAACTATGGGTCAATCTCGTTTCCTTTTGCCTGTTAAAAAAATATGCGCAAAGACATAATACCTTTGTGGTCCATATTTGGATTTGATATAGGTTTGATAAAAAAATCGGTTATCCAGTTCGCGTTATATTAAAAATTATTTTTTCTTTAAAATGTGTTCCATTTTATGGCTAAGAGGATAGCAAGGATAGCAATCATAGCTGTCACATTCATACTTCCCACAAGATAAACAAGAATATTACGACATGCAAAGTTTGAATCAATTGGTTACTCCTTTCGTAAATTATTGTGCCCATCTTCTAGTAAAACAGACAGACTTACGGAAAGACCATCATTTATAAATCTACTCCAAAAATATTATCCAAATTTGTTGGTGTCTAAATGAAATATTCCCAGCGTTCTTATCATTTCACATAAGTGGGGTAAATTCTTACAAAGTTTTCACGCCTATACACGGAAAACGAACACTATTCATTTACAGTTCAAAGAGTGTAATTTTATGGTGTTCAGGTCAGAACTGTGGGCTCTAGAGCGACTAGAGAAGCAGTAGAAAATACAGTTTTTGGGTCGTTTGATCCCTTAAACATAAATCGATCATATCCAAAAACTATAGGTGTCGGTTTTGGCCAGATCAAGTCCAGCATACAAAAATTTATGACGATCGATTGACAAACAGAGATCTGAAGTTTGGTTACAAATTATACGGACACATATACCTATATCGGCAAACTAAATTTTGGGTTTACCACCAATATACCGTTGCCCTTTTTGTACCTTCCACCATGAGGAGAAAACTTTTGCCCCGATAGCGAAAATCACGTTCGATTTAAACTCTCAAAATGCCTAATAGTGGGGCTACCGTTACATGGGGCTATACCAAAGCGGGAATCGATATTGACAATTTTTGGTCATACGATTTAACAGCCAATGAGAATACAAAATACCAAAATACAGATAATTCGGTTAAAGAAGGTGTTAAAAATTCGCAAAATAGCCACTTGAGTCAATATTAATATTTTTGGTGCGGAAATGTGTTGTACAGTGGAAACCCAAAATACCAAATTATAGCCAATTCTGTTTAGAAACTTTTCCACAATCATAATAATGCCGAAAATTGAGTGTACCATATATGAGGGCAAACCTGAAACTTGGGTTATTAATTTTTTTGGTAGTGATATAAAAATACCAATTAACAGTCAATTTGGTTGAAAATGTGTCTAGAAATCCAAGTTCTGTGTTTCCCCATATATTGAGGGGCAGCGTTATATGGGGGCTACCCACAAATTTGAGTCAATATTAACAAGTTTTGGTACGGATATGTGTTATACATTGAAAACCAAAATACCAAATTACAGCCAATTCGGTTTAAAAACGTGTCCAAAGTCCCCAAAGTACCAAATATTGGGGGAGAGGTCTTCGACGATTATATGGTGGTGTTTCAAACTAAAATCTTTAGGGTATAATTAGGATATGAGGACCCTATTCATATTTCAGTATAACTCCATTATCTTACCTCAATAGAGCTGATATCAGAGTTGAAATCAAGCATCTCTCTTTCATAAACAGATAATATTTCAGAATCATATCTGTCCGCAGTGACCACAGACGCCCTAATATGTCAATTTTGTAATTGTTCACAAAATAAATAAATAAATAAATAAAAATATACATCTTTATTAGATGTTCTGATCACAAGTAAGCGAGACTAAAAAACCGACAGTAATATAATTTTTGTTCGATCATTAGCAGAAACTATAGGTGTCTTCTTTGACATGAACCGGAACTACATACCAAATTTTGTGTGTGTATCTACGGCTCGTATTTCGATTGTAATTTATCATTGACAGACGGACACACATGAATATATCCATTCAATATGTCATGAAACCAGGATTTTTTGTTGGTTCTGGAACAAACCTATTGTTTATATTGCAATTATTAATTAGTTTAAAAAATATTTTGGGCAGCGCTTTGTGTCTCAAACATGACCCATGTGAGAATAAAATGGGCATATTTAATTTTCCCCTAATTTATATCAAGCATTAATTTGAATAATTTTATTCTACCATTTTTAGTGAATCGCAATGCTGTTCATTATTCCATCTATGCTGGCAATAATGAAGGATATTTTACAATTGATGAAAATTCGGGAAATATACGTGTGGCCAATCCACTGGATCGGGAAATGAAATCCCATGTACTGCTGAATATTCAAACAACAATGAGTCATACATCACATCAAGGATATACACAAGTAAGTATAAAATAACTACATGAACACAAGGACAGCTATTGAATTAGATGTAGTCCTTTATTTTCCAAAAAAAGTCAGAAAAATTCTCTAAAGTTCATTAGACCCCCCTGATCAACTCTTCAAGCAAATAAACCTCTCATCAAAAAAATAAAAGCAAAAACGAAACTAACAACAATCCACCATTGACTTACACGTTTTCTTCAATTTTCTTCTTTCCCATTTGCAATCCTTCAGGTCAATATTATAATCGAAGATGTTAATGACAATGCACCCGAATTCGAAACGAATATCATACGCATCTCAGTTCCTGAAAATTTCGAATTGGGCAAACCTTTGTATGCCGCTTATGCTAATGACAGGGATTCTGGTAAAAATGCTGAAATCTCATATATATTGACAATGTTAACAACGACAGACACTTTCAACAATGTCACGATGTCGTCGTCGTCTTCAACAAAGACGACAACAACAACAGCAACGGGCAACTCGGCAGCCGGAACAGCAGCAGCAACAACATCAACGGGCAATGGTGGTGGTGGAGCATCTTCTTTGGCATCGTCTCAGGCGAATGAGAATAATCAAGCTGCTGTTGTACACAGCACATCGAACGGGCAACTATCTGCATATGGCAGCAATGCGGCTGGAATTGGAGGTGGAAGTGGTGGTGGCAGTGCTGGCAATGGTGGCGATAGTGTCAGCAGTGGCATTGCTGGTTCTAAGTTACAAAATCTTTTTACTATCGATGCACGTTCAGGCCACCTAACATTGTCACGACACTTGGATTACGAAACTTCACAGAGACATACGTTAATTGTCACTGCCATGGACGCTGGGCAGCCACGTTTATCAAGCAATTTAACCATTGTCGTGGAAGTACAGGATGTCAATGATAATCCACCAGAATTTGAACGTAATGAGTACCATGTAAAAGTGTTGGAATCAATGCCAGTTAATTCACAGGTAAGACAGAGAGCAATGCACACAAGCACACATAAATAAACGAATAAACACCAATACCAGCAAAAAACAGAAGCATTTCAATCTTATAACATTTTTTTAACAGACAGTTGCAAAAACCAAACAGCAGAACAAAAATAAACAAAGTCGTTCAAATTTCCTTGTAACAGCGACAGACTTGGCCTGGGCTCTGGGTAAACATAAACAAAAGACTTAAGACACAAACTTGTTTTCATTTTTGTCTTCGTACGCCAGAAGTTTGACGTTAATTTAATTTGCAATAGTTTTGGGAATTTTTTTGTTTTGTTTTTGTGATTTCTGTCCGTCTGCTGTCATTTCATTAACGTTAAATATTTTAATTATATTTCATTTGTGGCCATTAATCAATAAATTTGTTTTGAATTATTTCATCAGGAAAATATTTGAAAATAATTTCAACTAATTTGACTATAAGGAGCGCTCAACGACTATTAGAGGCGTGGATTTTTAAGGAATATATTTTCAACGACTGTAATAGGCGTGAATTTTTTAAGGAATATTTTTTCAACGACTGTAATAGGCGTGGATTTTTTAAGGAATATTTTTTAACGATCTACAAAGGCGTGGACTTTTTTAGAGAATATTTATTTAAAGACTATACGAGGCGTGCACTTTTAAAAGAAGACTTTTTTAAAGAATATTTTTGAGGGGCATCCTCACAAGGCGTGACTTTTTTAAAGAATATTTTTTCAACGTGGTGTACCAAAGTCCCTATATATCTTTCGATTTGCACGAAAATTGGTACAGCGTAATGAATTCAGTCTAGAATTAAGTGTGTTATATTTCGTGAAAATCGGTTTAGATTTAGATATGGCTCCCATATTTATTTTCGTCCGATTTTAGGTAAATTGTGCACCAAAGTCCCTTTATATGCTTCGATTTGCACGAAATTTTGCATAGCGCACTGAATTAAGTCTAGAACGCTGTGTGTTAAATTTTGTGAAAATCGGTTCAGATTTAGATATAGCTCCCACATCTAGATTATATTTTTAACAACGCGGCGTACCGAATAACTTGTATCAATTTTGCTATAAATCGTTTTCCACAAATTTTCCCCATGTTACGCAGACGGCTCTAAAGTGGCCCACACACGTCAAACATGTGCGTTCGATCGGTGTGAATCGAAGCAATGTTTGACGTGTGTGGTATGTGCACAATTAAATTTTTCGTTAGGAAAGGTTGTGTGGATGTTTTCTCATTTGTTGAGAAATTTCGTGGAGGGCGGATCAGCGGACAAATGCAATACATATGTATTTGGAAGATTTTTTTTTTTGATGTTTTTACACATATTCTACTGTGTGGCAAATAAAAATGTTTTTTCCCGGAATAAAATAAAAGTATTTAAAACATTTATATTAAATTAAAATATTTCGTCCTTTTTCCGTCATCACTATCGCAGTCCATCTTCACGCTTCAAAAATAAATATGAAATGAAGTTTAATGGATCCGTTTGACGTGTGTGGGCTAGGAGCTTCACACCGATCGAACGCACATGTTTGAGGTGTGTGGTGAAGGCTATCATATAGTCGGCGCAGTCCGACTTTACTACTTTCCTTACTGGTTTATAGACTATTTTTTCAACGACCTACAGAGGCTTGGACTTTTTTAAAGAATATTTTTTCAAGGCCTATCCAAGGCGTGGATTATTTAAAGAATATTTTCTCAGAGCCTATCCAAGGCGTGGATTATTTAAAGAATATTTTTTCAAGGTCTATCCAAGGCGTGGATTATTTAAAGAATATTTTTTCAAGGCCTATCCAAGGCGTGGATTATTTAAAGAATATTTTTTCAAGGCCTATGCAAGGCGTGGATTATTTAAAGAATATTTTTTCAAGGCCTATCCAAGGCGTAGATTATTTAAAGAATATTTTTTCAAGGCCTATCCAAGGCGTGGATTATTTAAAGAATATTTTTTCAAGGCCTATCCAAGGCGTGGATTATTTAAAGAATATTTTTTCAAGGCTTATCCATGGCGTGGATTATTTAAAGAATATTTTTTCAAGGCCTATCCAAGGCGTGGATTATTTAAAGAATATCTTTTCAAGGCCTATCCAAGGCGTGGATTATTTAAAGAATATTTTTTCAAGGGTCATCTAAGGCGTGGATTATTTACAGAATATTTTCTTAAGGGTCATCTAAGGCGTGGATTGTTTAGAGAATATTTTTTTCAAGGCCCATCAAAGGCGTGGATTGTTTAGAGAATATTTTTTTCAAGGGCCATCAAAGGCGTGCATTTTTAAAGAATGATTTCTCAACGACTACCAAAACTGTAGATCTGAATTTCATTTCATATAATTAAAAAAAAACCGTGTGTAGCAAAAGTAGAGTACACAATCATCGCCTATCACCGCCTGCAATTCTTGTCATTTTATTTCTTTTGTTGTTGTATTTGTTTTTGTTCTCATATCCCCAGCTTTTGTTTGCCAACCAACCAAACATGTCAACATGTCCCATAGCCCAAGTCAATCAATGCGACTGATGTATAAAACTCAGCTGTATTTGCTGCAGCAACATTGTTGAGTGATTTATGTTAGACAGTCTTTTGGTGTCCCCCTATCTCCCCATCTCATTTAAGTTGGCTTTAACATTCCAGTATTCGTTGGTTGGTAGCACATAGCATGTATGTTTTGAAACGGACCTGCTGCTTGGTATTTGTAGTTTTTTTTCTTTTTGCAATGCCATTTATTCAAATACAATGAGTCTTAATTTTTCAATTAAAACCAGTAGGCATTTGTTGGCTGTTTGTTAAATGTTTATTAACAATGTCACTCTTTAATTGTGTGGTGGGGAAACAAAACGAAAAACCGAAGTTTGTACATAGCTGAAATAATTTTCATGGTAGGAAATGGAAATGTTGTGGGGACAAATATCGAACAACATACGACAAAAAAGGGGAGATTTTTTAGATATATTTTTATGGACTATCGATATGGATTTCTTATAGTATATTTTTTCCAGGACAATAGAAAGCGTGAATTGTTCAAAGAATATTTTGTCCGAGTCTATATGAGTCGTGGATTTTATAAAGAATATTTTTTAAAGACTATATAAAAGAGGGTTTTATAAAGAATTATTTTTTAAGGGCTATATAAGGCGAGGGTTTTATAAAGAATTATTTTTTAGGACTATATGAGGCGATGGTTTTATAAAGAATATTTTTTAATGACTATATAAGGCGAGGGTCTTATAAAGAATTATTTTTCAAGGACTATATAAGGCGAGGATTTTATATAGAATATTTTTTAAGGACTATATAAGGCGAGAGTTTTATAAAGAATTATTTTTTAAGGACTATATAAGACGAGGGTTTTATACATAATATTATTAAAGGACTATATAAGGCGAGGGTTTTATAAAGAATTATTTTTAAGGACTATAGAAGGCGTGGATTTTCGGGGAATATATAAGAATTTTTCGGGGCCTATATAAGGCGTGGATTTTATAAAGAATATTTTTTGAGGACCTATATAAGGCGTGGATTTTATAAAGAATATTTTTTAAGGTCCTATATAAGACGTGGATTTTATAAAAAATAGTTTTTCAAAGACTATAAAAGGCTAGGATTTTATAAAGAATAGTTTTTCAAGGACTATAAAAGGCTAGGAATTTATAAAGAATATTTTTTCAAGGACTATAGAAGGCGTTGATTTTATAAAGAATATTTTTTCAAGGACCATAGAAGGCGTTGATTTTATAAAAAATATTTTTTCAAGGACTATAGAAGGCGAGGATTTTATAAAGAATATTTGTTTAAGGACTATAGAAGGTGTCGATTTTATAAAGAATATTTGTTTAAGGACTATAGAAGGTGTCGATTTTATAAAGAATATTTGTTCAAGGACTTTAAAGAATATTTTTATACCTTACTCAGCTATGTTGTCAGGGTATTATAGCTTTGTGCAGCCCCAAGAGTTTGTAACGCCGCGAAATATTGGTCCTTGACCGACCTTTAGGTATACCGATCGTCATATCTCGACTAGCTGAGTCGATCTAGACATGTGTGTCCGTCTGTCCATTATAATTTGTAAACACGATACAGGCCACAGTTATGGACCAATCTTCATGAAATTTTGCATTTAGGATGGGTTCTGACCAATGAAGACCCCTATTGTTTTTGGTAAAGATCGCTTAATATTTAGGGGATGAAATGGACCAAATACTAATTTTTGTCGGTTTTACTGGTCACTCTAGAGACCGCAATTATGGCCCAAACATCGCGAACGTGGAGAAGGGGATCGGGCCAAAGAATAAGCATGCCTATTTTGATAAAGATTAATCAGTATTCAGCGGGTCAAATGTACCCTGATTTTTGTGTAAAAAATGACAAATTTTGTATTTTACAGCGTATATATTTACTCCTGAGGGACATAGAGCCGATAAGTTGATAGTATATCCAAGAGGAGTAGTTTTGCTTTAGGCGGATACCAATTATATTGTCGTAAGTACTCGGATTTGGAAGTTACACGTACATATTTACAGGTACTTACGTATTCAGCTATTATTTAAAAAACCATTACTGGAGGGTGGAAATATAGCGCAGATCGCTTTGAAATGTTCCATGAGGTTCCAGTTATGGTCAAGGACAACGGCTATAGTTTTCGGTGATGATCAGATAATAATTTTGGGATGAAGTGGACCGAAAACTTATTTGTTTTTGTTTTTTTTTCGATTCGATCTATAGGCTACAATTATAAGCCGATCATCACAACACAACCCATGGTGAAGGGAGTATGGACAAATAAGTAGAAGGGCTGTACTGAATATTAGTAATATTTGTTGACCTCTAGACGAACAATAGGGTGCAAATATCACGAAATATTGCCCAGGCTCAGCATATTGAACCACATAAAGTTATATTTTCATGTAAGTTGTGTAGTGTATCATATGGTCGGCCCCTTCCGACTATACTGCTCCGCTCACTGATTTAAAATATTTGTTCAAGTAACATTCAAGGCGTAGATTTT